CCGTCTGGGCCGGGAGCTTTCCGAGCATTCAGGTTCTTAAACTGCTTCCTCACATCTGCTTCATGAATATGAAGAGTTGTGGTGGGAGGAGGTGGTGTGAAATCCACCTGGGAAAGAATGATGATGTGACACAGGACAGCAATTCCAGCTAACTGCATTTACATTGTTTGGGTGGCCTTTCATACAGAAGGACAATGACCTAAAACATAACCCAGCCACCCAGAGTTTCTTAAAGCAAAGAAGTGCAATATTCTTGAAAGGCCAAGTCGGTCACCTGATCTTTACCCAAATGTGCATTCATTTTACTTCAGGACTAAAATTTGGAAAGAAAGACCGACAAACCAACAGCAACTGAAAGCCGCAGCAGTAGAGGTCTGGCAGAGCATGGAAAAGGAGGAAATCTGGTGATGTCAGGCTTTCATTGGTAGCAAAGGGTTTTCAACCAAGTATCAGAATTGAACATTTTATTTTTTTTAGTCATTTAATTTGTCCAGTTACCTTTGAGTTCCTGAAATGAAGGGATTGTGTTAAAAAATACTTGAAGTTTTCACATGTCTGTGAGAACCTTCACAGACATTTTACACTTCAACTACGTCTGAGTTGTTTCACTTAAAATTCATTGTAATGTACAGAACCAAAATTAGAAAAGAGTTGTATCTGTTGAAATATTTGGGGACCTAACTGTGTTTGTTTTGCAGGTAAAGGTGATGTGTTTGGTGACGTGTTCTGGAAGGAGATGACACTGGCTCAGTCCTGTGCTAATGTCCGAGCATTGACCTACTGTGACCTCCATATAATCAAAAGAGATGCGCTGCAAAAAGTTCTGGAGTTTTACGCCAACTTTGCAAACCACTTTGCCAAGAACCTGGTGCTTACTTACAACCTGAGGAAGAGGGTGAGTTTGCTTTACTGATGTATATTTAGTATCTATTACATGTATTTTAAGTCATGCCAAAAAAAAACCTTTTCACAGGACTTTATACAGTCCTAAGAAAAATTAAATTTACCACGTGATTCAGTACATTGTAAAAGCACCTTAAGCAGCAATAACTGTATGTGAAATTAAGCCTTAATGACCAAGCACATGAACTCACTCATGGTATAAACATCTATTTCCATCGAACAATAACTGCCAGTAAATTTACACTGTAAAATTAACAGGTACAGTTAAGAGTCACGTAACAATAACAGATGTAAATAACAGAGTTTCCTCATCTTCCTCATCAACACATGTTCCTAAGGCATGGTCGGAGATAACTAGCCACTCCCAACAAGCCACAATACCATGTTCTGATTGAGAGATTTCTGAAAAATGAAAACGTACAGCTCTGCTATCACTTCCGACATAAATGAAGACAGAAAACTAAACAGAAGTGACATTTGTAGGGTTACTGATGTTGGGCTTTGTTCCCCTTTTGTTAAAAACGCAACACACAAAAATACTGCAAAAGGAAACGGTCGCCTTATATACAAAGTGTATAAACTCCAAATGCACATTTCACTTAAAAATTAAGATGTGAAAATGTGAACAAATCAACTGTTAGAGATATTCTTCTCCTGTTGACCCCCCCAAAAGAAATAAATGAGTCTTCTCATCAGATATTGATGCTTCTTTCCTGTGTGACAAAAAATAGGAGACATATGTTTGTTTGTTTGTTTTTTAAGTTAATTCCCAATAAAACTGTTTTATTGCTAACTACATTGCTGTCTGTATTATTGCTGAAGTCCTAAATGATCACCTTTGAACAGCACTGACTGGGAGGCTTTGAACAGATCACATAGTTCAATTCAACATATAAGACTTTAAGAATGAAAAACATCTATAAATGATTGGGTTATTCTTAATCCCCATTTGTAATATTGTTTTTTTGTCACAGACAGCTAAGCTCCAAAGGGAATAAGGTAAAGTGGACCAAGAGTCTAGGTGAGAGTGAGAATTTAGATAAGCATGTAGCCACTCCCATAAGACACGGCTACGACATGCCCAATTATAAAAAATTAAATTTGGTAAGCCTAAGCCTCCCCTATCTATAGGCAGTTGTAAAGTTCCAATCCTTAATCTAGGTTTCTTGCCACGCCAGATAAATTTTGAAAAGGCTTTTTTTATATCACAAGAAACTTTCTGAGTGATCAGTAAAGGTAGCATTTGTAAATAAACGCGGGAGAATATTCATTTTGATTAAGTTCACACGCCCCATAAGAGAAAGCGGCAATTTTTGCCATCTATCTAAATCTTTTTTGATTTTTATTATAACTGGTGATAAGTTCAGTTTCCATAAATCTTTAAGAACTGGTGGAATGCTTAGCCCAAGGTATGTAAAGCCGCTGGGGGACCATTGAAAGGGATTAGAAATATCTGGCAAAGAGTTAATCTGATCACCCATGACTTCTGATTTCCCAAAATTAATTCTGTAACCAGAGAATGAGCTGAACTCATGTATAGTAGACATAATAGCTGGTGTTGATTGTTCTGGTTTTGATAAGAACAGCAAAATATCATCAGCATACAATGCTATCTTATGATTTGTTCCACCCACTGTTATACCATGCACATCTCGGTGCTGGCGAATGGTGTCAGCTAGAGGTTCAAGTGCTAATGCAAAGAGGAGAGGGGACAGGGGACAGCCTTGCCTCGTACCTCTTTGCAGTGGAAACGCTGATGATTGTACACCATTAGTTATGACACAAGCTTCTGGAAGTTTGTAGTGTTGTGGAAGTTTTCCATTTAAATAAAGCCTGCAGACAAGCAGTGAGCGGTAGCTAACATTCTTTAATCAAAACACACAAAAACAACAGACAACCAAGCTTCATGGAGCCCCTGCATGTCTGCGGGACAGACGGTCAGCAGAGTCTCCCTGAGCCTAGCATGGCTCTCAGTTAAATACCTTCTCCAGGAACAAAAGGCAGTACACGGCTGTTTCACACCTTAAGGTTCACACTCCCTTGCTACCTCCCAGAGTCCTCGAAGAGACAAAAGACTCCTTCCTGTGGAGTTGTCTGCTTCCTTGCTAGACCCCCGCCATTTGTCTTTCAGTATGAGTGTCAGACATGTTAAAATCCAGTGGCACCAAGGCATTATACAATAAAATAATGTGATTAATACGTAAGTAAAAGAAATTCCTATACAGTAGATAGTTTTAATCCATGCAATAAAACCCTCACCTAAAATGTAAAATGGTAAATGGCCTGTATTTATACAGCGCTTTAGTAGTCCCTAAGGACCCCAAAGCGCTTTACATATCCAGTCATCCACCCATTCACGCACACATTCACACACACATTCACACACACTGGCACCTAAGCCAAATCTTTCTAATACATTAAATAAATATGTCCACTCGATTCTGGCAAATGCCTTTTCGGCATCTAAAGATATAACATAGGCTTTATAATTTGTCTGATTCGAGTATTGTATAATATTTAATAGTCGTCTAATATTTGTAGATGAGAAACGATTTTGGATAAAGCCTGTTTGATCAGGGTTTATAAGCAGTGGGAGAATGCCCTCAAGCTTCCTTACTAATAGCTTAGAGGGTAATTTAGCATCGACATTGATGAGGCTGTATGTCTGTATGATTCACACCTATCTGGTGATTTATTTTTCTTTAAAATTAACAAAATATTAGCCTGTCTAAGTGTTGAGGGCAATTTTTCATTCTTAAAAGCGTCTAAAAACATATCAGTCAATGGTCCTGCAAGAAGATGAATTAGTGTTTTATAAAACTCTGGGCAGAAACCATCAGGCCCTGGTGCTTTTCCTCCTTTAAGGGAGTTAATAGCAAGTCGCACTTCCTCCTCTGTCACAGGGTTATTTAACTCTTTCCTGTGACTTTCTGATAACGATACAACAGGCACCTTCTCTAGAAATTCCCGCATCTTCCCATCTGTATTAGTACACAATTTGAGTTAAATTGAAGTACACCAACAGCAACTGATTGAATATGATTAGTTCTATTACGGCACTTAAATATTAGACATACTCTTAATTTAAGGATACCCAGCCCAGGCTAAGGTATATTGGAACTGGAAGTTCTACATTTATTAGTACTCAATTGTCCCCTCCTTTCTTATTTGTCTTTTCTTACGGACTTTATAAAGTAAAACGAGTTCAACTTAGAAATATAAATGAGGTTGGCTGGCTTTTTCGGTGGCATGCGGGAGTTTGGAGGGGAATTTTTGTTTCTCTTTTCTTTTCTTTTTGCCTCTCTGTTAGTGACTCTTGCTTGGTTTCACGAGACCCAGTTTTCTTTTTTGATGGATCGCAGGATCGTTTTTTGGGGGGAGGGAAGGGGGGAGGGTTTAGGGGTTGTCTTTCTCCTTTTTTATCATTAATATGCGTGGCTATTGTTTCTGTTGTTTATTTATTTATTTATTTTTTCATGTTTATGTCTATATAATGCATCTAAAATTACCCACATTCCCTTTTATGGAAACATCAGTTTGCTTATTTGCAGTAGCGCACTCCGAGAAATGGTTTCCCACACATCATGTTATAATAGAGAGGGGAAAAAAATTATAACAAAAAAAAAAGCTGAGCTGATATGACTGATCTTAAAATAATTTCTTTAAATGTTAAAGGGCTGAATAATGTTGTTAAAAGACAAAATTTATTTCATTTTTGAAGAAGGAAAAACACAAATTGCCTTACTGTCAGAAACTCATTTAAATGATTTGGAACACGTTGGGTTGGTTTTTTGCTCATCCTATGATACAAAAAGTAGAGTAGCCGCCATCCTTATCCATCGTAATCTGCCTCTAACCATAGAAAAAGTCATAAAAGATAAGGAAGGATGCTACATTCTTATATCTGGTTTCTTATTTAGAGAATCTATTTTCATAGGATGTGTTTATGGTCCAAATTCAAAAGATGTCTCTTTTTTTCCCAATCTCTTAACCCATGTTTCAGCCATAGCTTCCCCATATTTGGTTTTGGGAGGTGATTTTAATTGTGTTCCTGATCCTAGGGTTGATAAATCTCCACCAGGGGGTGAATTGTCACCAAAAAGCATTAGACTGATAGAGTTTTGTTCTGATCTAGAAATTTGTGATTCCTGGCGAGTAGCTCACCCCACAGATAGGGATTTCACTTTTTTTTCTTGCCCCCATCAGAGTTTCTCAAGAATAGATTTGCTCTTGTCATCCAGGACGGTGTTGGATAGGATGGAAGAGTGCTCAATAAGGTCTTGTCCATTATCTGATTATTCAGTAGTAAATATAAAAATTCACCCACCTTATTTTGAGCCATATTCCCGCCGATGGAGGATGAATATTATTGAGTAACCCCATATTTATTGAGTATATCACTAAAGAGTGGAATGTTTTTATGACCACTAATAAAACGGAAGATGTAAGCCCATCTTTGTTGTGGGAAACCGCTAAAGCCTATCTTAGGGGTAGTATTATCTCATACACCACAGCGCAGAAAAAGGCTTCAATGAAAGAACAACTTGGTTTAGAGCACATAATACACAAACTAGAAGTGCAGTTTAAAAGGTCCAAAACTATACTTAAGAAGTTAGAAGCAGCCCGCTCAGCTTTAAATCAATTACTGACTAAAAGAGCAAAGGCAGCAATTTTCTTTGATAAGAATAAATTATGAATCTGGGAACAAACCTGGCCGTCTCTTAGCAAAAATAGCAAAAGGCAGGACAGATACAAACGTTATACCATCACTGTTTGATAATAAACATGTCAAGCATTATAAAACAACAGATATTAATCGAATTATGAAATAGTTTTATATACACTTGTACTCATCAGAGTGTAGTATTTAAGGTTTCCATGTTAGCAGGCTGTGGAGTGCTCTGTCAGTGTAATTGGTCTAAAAGTGTTTAAATCTTCAGTCTTATGTTAAAATCTCAAAGGACAGCATTACATTTTTAATATTAACAGTAACCCTGGGCCTCTGTGGATTGGGCAGCTGATCTAATCTCTGTCTAAAACTGGATAACAAAAACTAAGGAGTGCTGAATCACTTTGCAGACTATTGCAGAGTAACAGGTGTGTAGCATCGCTAACTAGCTAGGAACAAGCCTCCAACACATTGTATATTCTAGTGGCTAATCTAGCACATGAATTAACAACAGAGTGGTTTTAGATGCTGTAAAACTATAAGATGATAAGCTGTGTGGTTTTTTGATAATAGTGACATGGTTGTATTTACCTTAATTGGACGAGTCGTCAGTCGCGGTAAACCCATCAGCAGATAAACTGGAGCAGCCGGGCTACTACGGCTAAAAGTGTAGGGGACTTGTTCGTGGTCACAGCCAGCAGGTGTGTGGACGGGAGCGTCACGCAGGCGCTCCACCTCAAGTCGCTACTGTGCAGACTCTGGCTCCAAAAGTGCAACATGGCAGCGTCTACAAGCGGGATATTTTGGCTTCATTTTTATGCAATGGGAGTAAGTGCTGTAGTGTCGTCCATGTTTTCTACAGTCATTGGCTGGGACCTGACAAAAGTGCCACCTGAAGGAGGCTTCTCTCTGTCTGATAGCTTGTGTTCTGAGACCTGACACCTGACACCTGACTTTTGAGACCTGAGACCTGACACCTGACACCTGACTTTTGAGACCTGAGACCTGACTCCTGAGACCTGATTCCTGAGACCTGGCACCTGACATGTGATTTCTGAGACTTGACTCCTGACTTCTGAGACCTGATACCTGACTTCTGAGACCTGACACCTGATGACTTTTTGTCTGAGACCTGACGACTTTTTGTCTGAGACCTGATGACTTTTTGTCTGAGACCTGACGACTTTTTGTCTGAGACCTGACAGCTTTTTTTCTGAGACCTGAGGATGTCCTAAAATGTACACCGTACTGTAGACATCCCAACATTCTCACAAGGTCAGTGGGTCACTGGCAGTCTCCTGGTCCTGTTGGTGGGGGTAGATACTGTTATGGTCCTCTCTGTGTCAGCTCACCACTTTCTCTCTGGCTCTTTCTCCTTTAGTGCTCTCTATCTCCTCTTTCTCTGTGTGTATGTCTCTGTTTATGGGACAATGACACAAACTGAACTGGAATACCGTTTGTAGATAATCCTGCCCTGTGGAATCTTCATTTGAATTCAGTGTTAATATGCACTGAACTTTGGTACACATCCTTCCTACCTGAGTGATCTTTGACAGCTTGAATGTAACTTTTCACAATCCTTATGTTTGAGAGAATAATCGAACAGATCAGTCTGTTGTGGCACTGGCAGAAAATATTTTGCAAGTTTTTTTTGTTTTTCAACTCTGCAGCTGAAGCCACAAATGCATTTTCCAACAACTGTGGCATCATTTAAGAGGAAATAAATTTATTACAAAGAAGCATTGTTACAGCAAATAAATAACTGACCAAACACAATTTTTCTTTCTGTGTTGATAACAAAAGCTGATATTAAATAGGCTATTCAATAATTTACATTTCCTGTTCATTGACAAGAAAACTGTATGAAGACAAGCCTAAATTCTTGGGGAATTTTAATAAATTTTCCAGTTTAATACATGGGGCCTGTACAATAAAACAAGTTTGCTATACCCGGGATATCTTTTCGTCATCTGGCTTCAGTTCAGTAATCATTCTAGACAACCCAATGAGTCAACGAGTTTACAATTCTAGCTATAAGCTGCCTTGTATAAAACAGTTCGTTGGCAAAATATAACCAAGAAAATAGCAAAATAAAGAAAATGGGTAAGTCTACTGCCCATTACATTTCTAAAAATAAATAAATAAATAAATAATAGTAGAAAAGTCTAAAGAATTTAAACACATTATAGGTTAAAACAACACAGTAACTGCAGCATAAAGTGGCAGTGTAAGTGTTTTAGATGTGGGAGTGGAGTGAATTTATGTGTTATTTAACCTGTTAGCAGTCGGACGTACCGCCCACGGTACATTGGATGGTTTAGGGGACTAATTGTAAATTTGTAGGACTGCTAAGGGGTTAAATGGTTTAGGTGGTCAGTAAGACTGGAAAATTGTTACAAATAAAGTACCTTTAAAGCCAGGTAGGAAAGCTAACAAAGAAGATTCATCAGTATCAGTACCACAGTACTGATTCTTTGAGCTGCAATAACTATGGTCTATCTCTTAACAGATTGTCTTTCGGAAGATCAGTGATGTGAAACGTGAAGAGGAAGAGATGCTGAAAAGGAAGAATGAGGCTCCTCTCAACCTCCCACCAGACCACCCAGTTCGACGACTCTTTCAGCGTTTCCGGCAGCAGAAGGAAGCCCGTCTCGCTGCTGAGCGGGGTAGTCAGGCCACTGGTGATGTCGAGAAAGGTGTTATTCACCTGGAGCCATCCAGAGGTCCAGAGAGGCTTGCCTCTACTAGTATTGTCATAGTAACTGAGAACCAAACTGCAACCACCAGTTCCTCCACATCTTCATCATCCAGGGCATCCAGCCAAGCCATGTTTCATGTTCCCGGCATCCAAAATGGCAGCCTAACTGGTTGCAAATCTGCAGAGCCACCCAAAGCTAAAGGGTGGGGACGTTTCAAAGAGTCAGTTGTGAAAGCTGAGTCGTGGAGCAGTGTCTCCAAGGCTGAGTCCATGGAAATGCTGACTGATAGAACTAAGTGTCACAACGAGGTGTCTCTAAGGAAAACAGATTCATGTGACAGTGGCATCACAAAGAGTGATCTCCGCTTAGATAATGTTGGCAGTGTCAGAACACCACAGGAGCGGAGCCCAGTCCAGTCTGATGAAAAGAGGGTCTTTTGTCCAATACCAGAGCAGAGTGTGCAAGCGTCTATCCTCGAGTTCAAACAAGAATTAAAAGGAGACATCAGAAATCTGAACAGTCGCATGACAGTGCTGGAGACACAGCTTACAGAGGTGCTACGACTTCTTAAATCAAGGAAATCATCTGGGTCCTTTTTCGAGTTCTCTCGGCCACCATCTCCTGACTCTGATAAGGACAGCTTTAATTAAATTAGATGGCTCAGATACATACATAATTGTGGTTAATGATGATTCATCATTGTCATATCATACTCAGCATGCTCATCCTATGCTGTCTGTATGGTATCATATACCATATGATACCTGGGACATAAAGACAGCAAAAGCACCTTTTATGTTTTCAGCATTACGTTTCTTTTTGAGATAGTCAGGTCCATAAATATTGGGACACCGACACAATTCTAACATTTCTGGCTCTATACACCACCACAATGGATTTCAATGGAATGATACGAGCAAGATGTGCTTTAACTGCAGACTGTCAACTTTTATTTGAGGGTATTTATATCCAAATCAGGTGAACAGTTTGCATATGTGCCTCCCAAAAGTAATGGGACAGAATAAGAATCATAGATCAAACTTTCACGTTTTAATTCTTGGTTGCAAATCCTTTGCAGTCAAATACAGCACACACATAGACATCACCAGACGCTGGGTTTCATCTCTGGTGATGCTCTGCCAGGCCTCTACTGCAACCGTCTTCAGTTCCTGCTTGTTCTTGGGGCATTTTCCCTTCAGTTTTGTCTTCAGCAAGTGAAATGCATGGCATATTTTAACCTGTGCTGCTTTTGTCAACAGTCACATCATCAAATACAAGAGAACGCGTTCCACTGGCAGCCATACATGCCCACGCCATGACACTACCACCACCATGCTTCACTGATGAGGTGGTATGCTTAGGATCATGAGCAGTTCCTTGATCTTGGTGTCATCTGTCCATAGGATGTTGTTCCAGAACTGTGAAGGATTTTTAGAGGGTGTTTGGCAAAATCTAATCTGGCCTTCCTGTTTTTGGGGCCCACCAATGGTTTACATCTTGTGGTGAACCCTCTGTATTCACACTGGTGAAGTCTTCTCTTGATTATTGACTTTGACACACATAAACCTAAGCGTTTTTTTATTCCCACCCTATTCCCACCTACTAATAATCTGAATACATATTGTTTGTGCATCACAAGGCTGTAGTTTTACCTGTGGCATGTGAGGTGACTTCAAGATGCAAATTAGACAAAAAAAGTGAAGTGGTACAGAATACTCTAGACAGCTATCATATTTAAAGCAAGGGCCACAAAAGTTAACTTGGTAAGCTTTTACTTTAACGAGATGATCAGAGCCAACTTGCTAATGCTGGTGCTATCTTGACCATATTGTCAATATAGAACACTTTGTTTTTCCGTTTTGCTTAGAAAGGCCCTCACTGTAGCTTGTATTTAGGGTGGTGTAGGAGGCAACTTTTCTGTTTCTGGTTACTTTTTTCATTCTAGAAAATAGATAAGGATAGGATTTTTATAAAGTATATGATGTTGGTGTTCTGAGCTGGTTTTAACTGACCTTATGTCATAAACTTTGTCTTTGACTTTTTGTAGAATCCTATGTGTTTCTAAAATACATGCAGAGAACCACGTTTTGGCAAGTATTGTACACTTATTAAACTACTGATTTGTTTGTAAAGAAGCTGGGGTACTGGACACTGAATGGTAACACAGTTAGGCTTTTACTGCCTAAATGCTAACTGTTGTCTTTAGATAGTTCACACTCTGAAGGTGAAGTTTCATTTATGTCATAAAACCTGCTCAACCTGCTTCAAGGGATTTATTAAAATGAGTAGATGCCCTCACGAGCAGCAAGGGGCCTTAAAACGAATTAAAAAAGAAAACGCAATCCACACGTAAGATAAGATAAACCTTTATGAGTCCCACACGTAGGAAATTTTTTGGTCACAGCAGAAAGCACAAGTTAAGAGCAGTAAAAAAAAAAAAATAGAATAGAATAAGATAACATACTGTACAAAATATTAAAAAGTTAAAATGAGGATTAAATTTAAGGTCTTATGTAATTAATATCACACAAATAGTTAAAGCTGCATTCATTCATATTTGACACCATTTTGACAGAAAGATTTTAAATAATGTTTCTTCATTTAGATTACTAGAGCTATTGAATAAGATATTTCTGTGTATGTCAGTCAGTGCCTCCTTCAGGCCCCTAAATCTTTGTTGGATTTTTTAAAATTTACTATTTAATATGTCATTTAAAACAGTTCCTATGAAAAAAAATCACTTGCCAGATATTCTTTTACTTTACCTTACTTTAGCAAAGACTGGTTTACTTCTGTTAAAGTTTTTGTGTTTTCAGTCAACATAACTTGTTGATACTTTTAAGCCACCACCTCTGGACCACTACTTCCGTTTGGGCAGTTCATCAACTCTCATTAGTTTCTTTTTTTCTTTCTTTCTCTTTTTTTTTCATTCACTAATATTAAGGTGTGTTGACAGCAGTGAAAAATTCCAGGCCACAATAACATTTTAGATTATCTAGCCAAAAGACAAAATTTATGTCATTGTGAAGTGTCCATCATCCATTAACAATTCATAAGAATCCCTATCCCTCCTTGTAGGAAGCCAAGTTACACACACTAATGCGCTAATGATTTTTCATCTAAACTGTGCTAAAGGTGAAGGTCATGGTTGTTGAAGGTCAAGGACTGATCGAAGTGCTTAACTTTAAAAACATTAAAAATGTAAAAATACAAAAATTATACATCTATATCTATGTGTGTGTGTGTGTGTGTGTGTGTGTGTGTGTGTGTGTGTGTGTGTGTGTGTGTGTGTGTGTGTGTGTGTGTGTGTGAGGAACCTTGGAGTAATTTTTGACCAGGATACGTCCTTCAATGCGCAAATTAAACAAATATGTAGCGGCTTTCTTCCATTTGCACAATATATCTCTAAAATATTTCTAGGCTGGACTACTGTAATTCGTTTGTATCAGGATGTCTAAAAACTCCCTTAAAACCCTTCAGTTTATCCAAACTGCTGAATGAACTGTACCTAAAGTGATTAGAAAGAGAGAGCATATTTGTCCTATATTGGCTTTTCTTCATTGGTTGCCTGTTAAATCCCTAATCAAATTTAAAATCCTTTTCACCACATACAAGGTCTTGAATAATCAGGCCCCATCTTATCTTAATGGCCTTATAGTATTATACCACTCCACAAGAGCACTGTGCTTTCAGACTGTGGGCTTACTTGTTGTTCTTAGAGTATTTAAAAGTAGAATGGGAGGCAGAGCCTTCAGCTTTCATGCCCCTCAACTATGGAGCCAGCTTCCAGTTTGGATTTCATCTCTTTTTCTCATCAATTACTGTTTGTAAGCTAGTGAAAGTCCTAATATGGCCAAAGATGGGCCAAACCTTAGGTAGATGTGCACATTACTATGGTAGGTAGGGACACCTATTATCACCTATTACCTAGTAAAATTATTTCTATAATTAACTTTTAATTATACAAATTTTGACCAATATCTGAAGAAATATGGACTTTCCAGCACACAGGACCATGCAGTTGAACAAATTGAAGTGTAAGCTTTACATCATGTGTCCACATAAATTGTAAACTGTATTGTCTGTATTGTAAACAAGGGTCTCCACTGACAAAACAGAATGTACATGTGGTACATTCTTTCATACTAAGCTGTAGAAGGTGTTTATTCACTGAACTTTTCCTCACATCATTTAAATGTCTCTATTAGCTTGGAAAGAAAGCAACTGGACTTATTTAATTTTCTTTCCACGCTGCCTAGACTACCATTACCTGGATGATTGAGAACCAACATAGACATATTGCCTTTATTAAAGAATGCATCATGCATATATTGTTCTGCAACTTTAATCAGCATCAGACTACTTTATTAATCCCTAGGAAATTATGTAAATTATGTAAGCTCTGTGTTGTCTGCAAGCATGAAGAAAACACTAAAACTGTGCCAACTATAAACTTTAAATGAAAACTTTACAGTAAAATTTCAAATGTCAGGCTTCATGACAAATTTGATAAAGTATTACTTAAAGGCACAGAAAATAAAGTGTGTCATTCAAAAAATGTCAAAAATGTACCTCTTGACTTGTCTAAATAATAACCTGAGATGTATGTATCCCAACTTGGTATCTGGTGTGTCCTCTCTCAGTGTGATAATATGTCATAATATGCAACCATTGTCCTATATGCTGTGTTTATGGAGAGACTGGTTGTTATTTGTGTGAAGTTGTGAAGATCATGTTGTCCTGCGGGGGAACTGCTATCAACACTGATGCATTTTGATTGTCATCCCTGCATGAAGCTTGTGTCTGAAATGTGTTTTTCTAAAGGAAATGCTTAAATCTAGCTGAATGCCTTGTTACTTCACTACTGTTACTTGTTACCTGGCTGGATATCTGAAGCTTCTTCTCTAAACTTTACCATTTTCTGTTAGTCACATATATGTTGCGACTGTCACCTGTGCATGACGACCATAACAATAAATAAATAGATCGATTTTGTTTTGTTTGTTGTTAGGTCTGTTTCCATTTTTCACTTGTTATGAACTAACACTGTATCAGCACAAAGAAAATTGATAAAATCACATCAAATGTCATCAAGACACCTTGTACTTGTATCTTTGCTGTGTATTTTTTGGAAGAAGAACGTTGTTGCTCACAGTAACAGACACAGATAGAAGTAGAAACCTTTTGTTGCGACTTAATGTATTTCATTTAAAGTCTTTAAAGGTAAAAAGACAAAACCAACTTTAAATAGATAACTGTATAAAAGTTATTGTGCTGAATGTTTCAATACAATTTATTTTTGTTGATTATTCACTTTGCAAAATAATTTTTTTCTGACGTTGATGAACATTTTAATTTTAATCAATGGGATTTTTGTCCAGCCTTTGGCTGTTTTTTTCCCACCTTTGGTCTTACCAGGTGTGACCAAACATTTGGTCCCACCTGTTAGGTGCATCCTTCTGGGTCGATCATCATAGCCGTTTTTTCTACAGAGTTCTCATTGTTTCGAATCACGTGTCCATAACACCTCAGGTGGGACTCAAGCATCTTTTCCTTAATTGGGGCTACGCCTATTCGCTTCCGTATGTCTTTGTTCGTAACACGGTCCCGACTTGTAATTCCCAAGCTCCATCGGAGCATGCGCATCTCCATGGTGTTTAGGGTCTGTTCATGTGTGGTCAACGTTAGTTTTTAAAAAAACATCTTACTCCCAGATGTTTCTTTAGGTTGGAGGTGGAGTCTTTTGATGCCGAGAGCAGCTTGGTTGCTGGCAAACAGAGTATGCATCCCACGGTCAGATTTTGCCCATCCCTTTCTTCTTTAAATGTGAAGTGGTGTCAGAATTTCCAAGTAACAAATGCATTCCTCTGTAACTGACACCACCAGCATTAACAGGATACTTACATTAGAGCCTCTTAGACTACGTTCACACTGCAGGCGAAAGCGCATCAAATGACCCTATGCGACCCACATCCGATCATGGTATCACAGTGTGAACGGCACAAATCCAATATTTTCAAATCCGATCTGGGTCACTTTTGTATGTGGTACTGAATCCGATGCATATCTGATGTTTTAAAAGTTTTAGACTGCTGTTTGAATGGTCATGTCGCATTAAATCTGTCTTTTATGTCACTGACACAAGACAGACGCCAATTATCAGCGCCGAAGTGCCCGATAAGACATCGCAAACGCTTCCTGGCCATCCCGTGTAGATGTTAGAGAAACTGTTGGGAAGACAGTATTGGAGAAACGTGAACATTTTCTTTGTACTGTATAATCTGCAGATTCTGACAGAAATCTGCAACTATCCTTTGAAGCACCGCTCCTCTAAAACAGCAATAAGGATCATTATTAAGCCATATGTAAATAAGAAAATAACTTTACGTTTCCAAATTTTGCTTTAAGTTATAAAGTCAGAAGCAAGTCTTTATATTAACAGCTAACAATACTGTTTGGTCTAGGTCTAAACAGGGAGAAAAGCGGACTACTCCTCAGGGTGGAATATATAATTATTATGTATAATCCCTGAATACAACAGAAATGTCACCAATGAAATCAGTTGCAACATAAAATCACAGCCTGCTTTAGATCCGCATCCAGCTTGTCTCTTTGTTTCTGGGCCAAGCTCTGCTTACTTTTCCTTTTTCTGGATCTTTTTTTTCTGAATCTTTTCTATTCCAGCAGGGATCCCCATAACCTCACCCTTGAAAAAAAGCTTTCTGCAAAGCCCCCTCCCTCTCTTGTTCCCTGTTCCCACTTTCCTCTTTCTCCTCCTCAACTGATGATCTGTATTGCAGTGCCAGTCCTCCTCCTCACTGCAGCAGAGAACAAACAAGAGGGTCATCCTCTCAGACTGAGAAGAAAAAAATACATCTACAACCAACTTCCCGTTTTTCCATCCTTTCTGTATTATACTCATGCCATAGCATGGTCTAGAGGGCTACAAATAAACAGCTTCCACTTCCTGCAGGTTACTTCATCTTAGACCAGGGACATTTTAAAAATCAATTGGAACACTTGGAAAATAAGCTTATTATATGTATAAAGGATGACAAGGATGCCACCTGGGCTCCTCCTGTGTGGTGTTCCAACTCAAGACATGCTGGTGAGTTTATATATCTCGCCTGGT